CCCAAATGTCGTTTTCCTCATGTCTCTAGACGCCACGTTATGAAGCGTGGGCGTGCCGTCAGTGCGGCGTCATGAGGCGTTTGATAATCCGGTTTATTAAAGAGTCTTAATCGGAATAAGGCGATAATTCGGTTTTCTCGAGTGTCGTGGAAACGGACTGACAGTGACGACCTTCGTGGAGGAGGGAGAGGAAAACCAAACCTTGAAGTTCCTGTACCGCCCCGGTCCACCTGATCCCGCTCATTTGGGCGTTTTTAAGGTCCGCCCAGAAGGTCAAAGTCACCTGAACTTTTCTCTGCTGCACCCGATCGAAAACCTCCAACGTTTGTTCCCTCGACCATCGCCGTGAACTCCAACTGAAGACACAACGACCTGCTCAACCTCGGAGGAGGAGGAAACGGCGTGGAAATCAGCGAGTCGTCTGAGAAAGTGACAAACTCTCCACACTCTCCCGAAGTTTCGCCGATTCAAGGTCGTGAAAAAATGTGTTTGAATAAACATTTTAATTAAAAAACATCCGTAAACGGACATTCAAAGAATTATGCCGCCGCCGCTGCCGCTGCCGCTGCCGCTCCTCCCCTCCCTCCCTCCTCGCCTCCTCGCCTCTCTTCAAGGAGACGTCTGAAAGAAGAATTAATCATCGTCCGGACCGACCCTCCTTCTCTCCGAACCGCCGCAGAGAGTGACAGAGTGTTTCCAAAAGATGAGCGTACGGCGAGAGGGGACGGCGGCGCTCCCATGAAGAAGATGAAGAAGGAGGAGGAGGAGGAGAGGAAGCAGAAACCATCAACGCCGCCGTGTCACACTCTGCTGTTTCTTCACGTCGGTATGGTAACCACCAGTTTCCACCGCATCCACAACGGCAGCGATTTTCGACATCCGCCAATTCCTACCAGATCCGTTTGTGAGGCGAATTTCACGGCGGATTACGGACAACGGGAATCATGAGAACAAGAACCCGCAGATTAACGTCCAATCAGACGATAACGGGGGGGGGGGGGGCTTTAATCTTCCAAATACATTTGTAGTCATGATTATTTCTAGACTGAACAATCTTCATTCAAGAAATCTTGTTTAGTGAAATGATCTTACTGCATGGACAGATAATTGATCTTGTTTTTAGAGTTTTAATCTTGTTTTCAGTGTGTTTATCTTTTTTTAATCTTGTTTTAATCTTGTTTTCAGTGTGTTTATCTTGTTTTTAGAGTTTTAATCTTGTTTTTAGTGTGTTTATCTTGTTTTAATCTTGTTCTAATCTTGTTTTTATCTTGTTTTTAGAGTTTTAATCTTGTTTTAATCTTGTTATTAGTGTGTTTATCTTGTTTTTAGAGTTTTAATCTGTTTTAATCTTGTTTTAATCTTGTTTTAATCTTGTTTTCAGTGTGTTTATCTTGTTTTTAGAGTTTTAATCTTGTTTTTAGTGTGTTTATCTTGTTTTAATCTTGTTCTAATCTTGTTTTTATCTTGTTTTTAGTGTGTTTATCTTGTTTTAATCTTGTTTTCAGCCCCCCTTTCTTACGTTTGTACAGATCATTATTCGTCTTTTAAAGTTTGTTCACGGAGGGTCTGTTTGTTGTGAAACGCCGTTCTGACTGAGGGGCCCGGTGGTCCCCGGGACAGGGACCCCCCGTCGCTGTGAAGTCAAAGGTCAGGGAGAGGGAAGGCGGGGGGGTATGTGGCGCTCTGAGAAGCGGGTCGGCGAGCTCGGGCCTGAATTAGCCACCTGCTGAGCGGGCGCTATGGGAACACTAGAGGAGAGGTCACACACACACACTCACTCACACACACTCACACACACACACACACACACACACACACACACACACACACACACACACACACACACACACACACACACACACACACACACTCACACACACACACACACACACACTTGACTGGTTAAACGGAACATCTCGTCTCACAGCAGGAAACTAAACTCGATTATTTTCACTTCAGTTATTTTGGTTTAAAGAGCGAAGACGAAATAATCCGAGTTTTTTGGTTTGTTTGTTTGTGCGTCAACAACGTCGTCAACAACATCGTCAACAACGTCGTCAACAACATCGTCAACAACATCATCAACAACATCGTCAACAACATCGTCAACAACATCGTCAACAACATCGTCAACAATGGCATCAACAACAGCGTCAACAACGTCATCAACAACAGCGTCAACAACGTCATCAGCAACGTCGTCAACAACATCGTCAACAACATCGTCAACAACATCGTCAACAAAATCGTCAACAATGTCATCAACAACATCGTCAACGTCATCAACAACATCATCGTCAACGTCATCAACAACATCGTCAACAACAGCGTCAACAATGTCATCAGCAACAGCGTCAACAACGTCATCAACAACGTCATCAACAACGTCGTCAACAACATCGTCAACAACATCGTCAACAACATCATCAACAAAATCGTCAACAATGTCATCAACAACATCGTCAACGTCATCAGCAACATCGTCAACAACATCAACAAC